GTACAACAATCGAACCAGAGTTGTATAAACACGAATTATCATATCAAGTTTGCAATCGTCCGCCCCCCCCCCTCAGCTTTCACTAATAACCACAGAAGATGTTTATTCATTACACTTCCGGTTTTTCATCGTCAGTTTATACAGGGACTTCTTTATCAGTAAACCTACTTTAGATTGATCTTTGTCTATAACAGGCATATTGATCAGCCTGAAAGAACGCCCTACCGCAATTGCATGTTTGGCAATAGCGGAATCAGAAAGCTGAAGTATTATTTACTTCAGATTTATATACTGCTTCACGAATGGAACCAAACCTGCCTATGTTCAAAGTTAAACTGTGAACTTTTAGCAGAGATGGACAATGTCCACTTCAGTCCAAAAGCGACGATGACTAGTCATTGGAGACTTACAGTAACATTTGCGTTGACTGCAATCGATGCAAAATTACAACACTCTGAAATAGCACATAAGGGCGATTGATCGGGAAAACGTTTTAGTTCATGATAGTGTCGAATGTCATCCTAGGCTTAGAAACATGCGAAAGTTTGAGAAGCCTGCCTTGTCGGATTTACCAAAGAATATTGTTTTGGCTGAATAAAATAAGATGCATTAAGTATCTCGCGAATTGTCGTTTTTGTCCATGACTTATCGTTCTCTGTTCACGGCTGAAGTCGTGAGGAGAAAATTTAGCAAGTCTTCTGCATTGATTTATATGGACATTTCATAAAGCTAGGTTTTGTCTTTTTCATATTCAGAGTTACATTTCCAGTGGCCTGCAGATCGTCCAAAATGTCACAGCTCCATGAACCATCCCAAATATTTGCATGCAGATCACCGCACAAATTGAGAATCGGAGGGAAGATGTGATTAGCTCGTGGATTATAGTTGTCAGTGGCCTGCCTTTTTATTTTCTGGCAAAAATCGGCGCATATGCCGCTGAAAATCACATTCTATTTGTTCATTCACAATTTATCTTATTTTTCTCACGCCACTGCATGAAGATGACGCCGATTGCCGTACAAACAGTCCACCCTGATCGAGCAACTAGTCTCCACTACTCAGTCCTCTGCATGCCATGTCAATCCTCAAGATACTTTCTCATCTTGCTGGAGGTTCTCCTGGCGGACGCCTACCATCAAACTTCGCAGTCAGAATTCACTTCTCGAGACGGCAAACTTTAATTCGTTGACGATGACCCCCCTTTATGAGATATTCTAATATCTCTCTTACAACTGCATTTGACACAAGATCATTCCACGTGATTTGCTATATCTCATTAACATCCTGATATATATTCAATTATGTGGAACCTAATTCTATGCGGATTATACAATGCTCCTGGAATTGCAGTTTCTCATTTATTGCAGCCACTCAAACGACGAACACAAGCGATATCAACAAAACCAATCTCACTTGGAGTATCCTACGAATCCAACCACGCTGTGTTAGATCAACATACCTTGCTGTATTTTCGACACACTACCAAGCGCTGGAAGATATTCAATTTCAGATGAGCTTAAACAGCAATTTGTTTAATTAGTCTCAAAGCCGTTATAAACTAGCAATTAAATTAAACAATAAACTAGCAATAAATTAGCAACACGAGCTAATAAATCGAAGTTATTTTCAACTTGAAAAGGAAGCAACTTTTTATGGCACAAAAGCAAGTTAAATGACGATTAATTATTTGTGCCCAATTTAGACTTTTGACTGTTTGCGACGATCAGTTTATCAAACGAATCTTCCGACATATGCCGCAGAAATGAGTGTCAAGCTTTTCAGGACGAGCTCCTCATTCAACAGCTTCTGACCAACCTTTTACGAAGTATCGAGCTGCTTACTTAAGGCGGTGTAAATTCCTTGCTGCCTCATCTTTATTCCTTCACCGCTAAGATCAAAAAGCTATGAAGACAAACGGCCTTGTTTCAGTCACAATCGGTCCGGCTAATTCACGCAGAACGCCACTGGCTACTCCAATTCGCCGATCGATCTCTTCCTCCAACTTTCCATCACTAGTAAATACAGTTCCGAGGTACTTGAG